ATCTACAGCCAGCCTCCAGCTCAATGGCTTCTAGAACCTCTCGCCTTTTGTTGCTGTTGAGGACTCTGCTAAGGGGCTTGGGCAGCACATCCCAGGACCTGACCTCAAGCCCTTTCTTGCCTCCAATTATTTCCTAAAGTCCAGGGGGAAGTACAATGTCCCAAGAGTCCCAAGCACCTACTGTGAAGGGTGTGTGAGCTGCCCATCTTAGGAGTTCCCAGGTAGAACCTTTGTGCTGTGTGCCTTGGTCTGAGCATGCCTCGGTTTACCTATAGGTAGGGACTAAAGAGTTGAGCTTCCCTGGGTCCCCTGAGTGGCTAGGGCAGGGGTTAGATCCACAACAGTTGCTTAATTTGGGGTGCTTTCTTTCATGGAAGGGGGTGTGTGTTTCTGGGTATTCCTGTCGTGTGTGTCCTGTGGCTAAAGGGAAAGATATTAAAGGTTATGTGGTCTCTAGTGTATGGAAGCCCCTTTCGCCAGTGTCAACCCTTCTTGTTCAGCACTGCCCATTCTTCGTGTCTAGGAAAGAGTGAAGAGAGATTATAGAACAGAAAACAAAACAAACAAACAAAACCAGGCCAGGCTTGCTCTGAAAACAGACGAGAGTCCTCCAGAAATCCCAGTCTTCACACGCTAAGCCTTCGGACCTCTGCCCAGAGATCAGTTAGTCCTACCACTTCCCAGCAGCAGGCGGCAATCCACTCAGCAGCAATCCAACCCTAGCTGCGGAGCGGCCTGGCAGGAGTGGACGCTGCCGGCAGACCCAGCTCCAGGTCGGCAAGAGGTCAGCCACGGGCCACAGGCCCTGCAGAGGCCATGATCCACACCGCCGCGCCTCGGAACCGCTCGTGCTCACTTCACAGCTCCAAGTCCGCCCGCGTGCGCGTGGCCAAGACTGAGCAGGTCCGACGCCCGCCAAGCCGCGCAGTTGAAACGTACCCAAAGAATTAGCCGAGGCCTGGCTTCAGCCTCAAGCTGGAGGACGCGCTGGGGCTTGCTGGTCTGGCCGGCAACCCAGGATCCGAGAGCCCAACCCGGCGCGCCCATCTTCCCCTGGACCGAGCTAACCTCGGGCTTCCCTCCGGGGAGGCTGAGTCGACGGACAGCGGACACATCCAGGCCTAAGTGGCTCCAGACTTGCCTGCGGTGCAAGTCGGGATCCTGGGGAGTCTAGGCACCTTCGGTGGGCTGGTGCGGGAGAGGGCGGGAGGGCGGGCACCCTGCCCCTACTAAGAGCTCTTGGTGGAGAAGGACAGTAGTAACAGCGCTCAGGTCACTTAAACCGCTGAGGAACAGACCTGGGGCGGTGTGTGTGTGTGTGTGTGTGTGTGTGTGTGTGTGTGTGTGTGTTTGTGTGTGTGTGTGTGTTTTGCGGTAGCAGGTGTCCCCAGGCCAGCGGGTGCCTGCATTTCCGTAAACAAAGAAAGGGGGCAGTTCGTCTTGGGAGCCGAGGGGCTGTTAAGAGAATCGCAGACATCTCCTTCATAAAAATGCGATCTAAGAGCATTTGATTTCCACTTTCACTCCCCCCTCCCTGCGTCTCCCCCCTCCCCGCCCCTACACACTCACTGTCTCCAAAGACACTCAAATTGCAGCCATATGGGCTAAAGTAATAGGAAGCAGTTACCTTATTTACTGCAGAGGCGGCGCACGCAAACCTGGCAGCAGCGACTGCCTAGAAGTGGTCTTAACAGCGCCGGTTTATCGTTCCCTGAAACTTTTGTTTAGTTTTGGGACGTGCACAAGGGAACAGCGATTTTCTAACTTGAAAGGGAAAAGGCCTTGTGTGGAGGAGAGAAGAGGTGTGGAGAATTGAGTCGGTGGGTAGGGGAGGTTTCAATTAAAAAAAAAAAAGTGGGCTGTGGACAAGCCTTCCTGCATTGGTTCCAAGGACAGGCTAAGAGCAGAGAGGCCCATTCGGTCCAAACTTGGTTGGAATGAGGGCATATGCTAGTGCCCCCTCCTGGCACACATGGGCACCTTCCCATTCTGAACTAACCAAGACCCCATTCCTCAGATGGCCACTTCTCCCTTTGTTACTAAACTGCCCAGAGGTGAGGCCACCCAGAGACCTGATTTGACACCTTGTTGCAATCCTATTCTAGCTCCTGCAGCTGGAAGCAAGTTGCATCCATGCATAGGTAACATCCTGTCTCCTCTAGATGGTCCCACTGAAGGATGCTACTCATCTGCTATGGATAGGAACCAAGTTTCCTCCGACTTTTGAGTATCCTCTTCTTTCCCTCTACTCCTGAATCCAGCTCTAACTTCGCAATGGGCTCTGCAAGAACCCCCAGGCTTTCAACTTAGACTACTCCCAAGCACTAACTTTGTACGGAGAAAGCTGTCAGGGAAGAATTACCATCAAGTCGGGGGAAACGGAGCTAAGAGCCCGGAGACAAGCACTAACTAACTGCTCCATCAGCGGTAGCAAGAGCCGGGAACTTCCTTTTTCTATGTCAAGCTTCTCAGGTTAATTAGGCAAAGAAGTCAACTTTAGCGAGTGAGAGGAGGAAGAGAAAGGAAAGGAGGGAGGAAGGAAATGAGGAAAAAAAAAAAAAAGAACAGGAGTTAAAGAGAGCAGAAGATTTTTTTCGGTGAAACTGAAACCAGTAACCGATGAGCCTCGTCTCCTGAAAACCCAGGTCCATGAAGGCACTGGACGGCACACAAAACCTGGGGACAGCGTTCTCCTCGAAACCCAAGCTGAAGGGAAAGCACCACTTTTCTCTTGGTGGGCAAACTTCCCAGGGGTGGGAAAAGGCGATGGGGGAGAGCTGATCCCTCCACTACCGAGCATCCCCTTCCCCACGCCACGCAGTTCCCCGCCTCCCGCTTCAAGGTGTCCCTGAAGCAGGCTTGCAGAGCCGCGACCCCCTCTGCACTCAGGGTTAGGGTGGCCAGACAGCCAACGCCCGCGGCGGGCAGTGGATTCCAAGCGCGGGCAGGCGGAGCGACTAAAGCGACCCGGCCGGCCGAGGGGTAGGGTGGGCTTTCTCTGGGCGGGGAAACCAGACACTTATAGGCGGCTGAGGCCGACTTTATTTTTACTGCCCAAACTGTTGGAAAGTATTTAAGCTTAAACAGAAACAGCTGTATCGCTGGCACCGGCCGACGAAACTATTTGTTACCGGGAATGACTTTTTATGATTAAGGACGCGGCCGTCGGCGGCCTCTTGAAGGCGGTGGGCGTGGGTCACCGGGGTGATCTGGGCGTCGCGGATGAGCTGTTCGTTAACACAGGACTCCTCACCTGGAGTGCACCTTGTAAGGTCAGGGAGCGAAGCCAAAAACTGGAGGTCAGAGGCTGGCAAGAGGAGCCCTGGGGAGGACCGGAGCAGCGAGCCCAGCTCTCCCCAAGGCCAGCACCGGCGCGCGAGGTGCTCAGCACCTTGGACCCTAAGCACAGCTTTGAGCTCGGGTTTTCTGCCCTTCCAACCAGACTCGGTGGCTCGTTGGTTTTCTTTCTTCATCGTTCCTTTCTCTCTCCCTTTCTCCTATTCCTTCCCTGGCCCGGGGAAACTGATTGCAATTTAAGTTGATAATCGCGGTTTAACTAAGTTGTGTGTTCCAAGGAGTTGGGTGGGCTCTGTGATCTGGAGCTTGCGTGGAACATGCCAAGTGTGGAGATAGCTGCAGCTGACCCTCCAGGCTGCTACGGGGTTACCAAGAGCGGAAGAAGAACTTAGGATGAAGGGTCAGCAAGCGCACGCACTGTGTGAGGGAGCAGGGGCTTCTCTGCGCGACCCTCACCCCCTACCGGGAACTCGCCATCTTTGCGTGGGGGGTGGCGGCCTCCCTTCGAGGCTGCAGTAGTTATCAGTACTCCCCTCAACTTGCACGCCGATGTTTGTGGTCGAGTGTCCTCCACGCATGTCGTCGAGAAGAGCCCGAGACAGGAAGTACTCTAGCTCGGCACCCAGGTCTGGAGCAGGCCCGCGGCCGCCCCAACCGCTCACCCCCGCCCCGAAACAGTCAACCTCTAGGCTCTGCCTCGATGGCCATTGGCGCATTAAACCCACCCAGGCCTGGACGGACGTGCTCAGTTTTGGCTTCTCCCAGGGCCGGGGAGTGGAGTGGGTGGAAGGCGCAGGCTGGAGTGGGGGGGGGTCAGGTTGCTGCGACTTAGGGACAATGGTGGTGCGAAGAGGAGGCACACGACCTCTAATGCAGGGTCTCGGCCCGGGGTGGGCTCAGGTGGCAAGCACCGGCCTGCACTAGTCTGCTTTGGGCTTCTGAGCCCGGGGAAGCGCCCACGCCATCTCGGTTGGTAGGGCCCGGAGGGTGGGCGCGGGCAGCGTTGTGCGACTGGAGACCCAGAGCAGGCACATTGATTTGTTAGCGGGATGGGACTGGCGGTGGAGGGAGGGGGCGTTGCCATGGAGACCGAGGCTGTGCGGCCGCAAGGGAGGGGTCCGGGGACCGGGGGGCTCGACGCTGGCGCTCAGTAGGTCCAGGGGTTCGGGCGCGGCCCGTTGCGCCCCAGTACCTGGGCATTGTGCTGCACCGGCGGCGGGGGTGGGGATGGCGCCGGCCAGGGCAGAGGCGGGTCGGGAGGGCCTGGCTCTGCAGAGGGGCGGTGGCTGGCTGGGACCTAAACGTGGAGCCCAGGGGGCTCGGCGGGGACACGCCACGCACCCGGGGAACCGCTGGGCGATGGGGCGCGGGGGCGGGGGCCGGGGACTAGGGCCGCGGCCCCCCTGGCCAGCCGTGCAGACTGACAGCGGCCAGGCCCGCCCCGCCCCGCGTCACTTCCGCTGACAGCATCTGCCCCCCCTTCTGGGTCTCTGGAGTGGCCAGAGACTCCGCCCCCTGGCGATTGAAACGCGGGTCACGTAGCAACGCGGGGGAGACGGGGAGAGGGGCGTGGCCGGGCGCTGATCCAATCAGCGCCCGCAGAACAGGCCTGGGCCGCTTGGCTTTAGCAACGTCGTTAGCAACACGTGGGGCGGGAGGAAGCGCCGGGCGGGGGCGGAGGGGGGGAGAGCGCGCGGGGAGGGAGGAGAACTGACGTCAGCGGGAGAGTATTATGGGCTGTCGAGCGCTGGCTGCTGCTTTTCTGCTCCTGGAAGCGGCCGAGGGGGGAAGCGGCGAGTCAACATGGAGCTCTCGGCGGTGGGGGAGCGGGTGTTCGCGGCCGAAGCCCTCCTGAAGCGGCGCATTCGCAAAGTAGGTGACGGGGACAGCGGGCGGCGGCGCGGCGGGCCCTCCCTTACCAGGGCCCGGGCTCCCTCCCCCTGCTGCAGCCCAGCCTCCCTTCCCCCAGGTCCCAGCAGTGGCCGCGGCCGTGGCGGCGGCGGCGGCGGCTCAGCCTCTGCGCTCTTCTTAGACTTGCAGCGGTGCACAGATTGCATGGATGGGGGGCGGGGTGGGGGAATGAATGCCAGTGCATGCACTTTGTGCAGCGTTTCTGCAGGGGTGCTGCAGCAGGCTGGTACCTTTGGCGTTAGTGTTTGGAGCATTCATTTGGTGCATGCATTTTCGCGTGTATTTCTTGTGCCCTCGTTTTGCATTCCTCTCCACGCATGCACACATACACATTTCCCCTTTTGCATCCGCAGGGACGCATGGAATACCTCGTGAAATGGAAGGGCTGGTCGCAGAAGTAAGTAGATCATATGCAATCGTGGCAACCCCACACTGATATTGAGGAGGGTTCTTTTTTCTTCCTCTTTTCCACTTTACATTGAAATACAACACATGGCAGCCGGAAAAGTTACACACACACACACACACACACACAAACACGCACACACGCCCTCTGCTCCAGGGACTGACGCCAGATTCTTCCTGGTTTCCTATAGGTACAGCACGTGGGAGCCCGAAGAAAATATCCTGGATGCTCGCCTGCTTGCAGCCTTTGAGGAAAGGTACAGACCCTTACCCACACCCTGGAACCCACACAGACTGACGTCTGTGCAGCCAGGACACACCCCCTTCCCCCCTTCTTTCTTTCTATAGGGAACGGGAGATGGAGCTCTATGGCCCCAAAAAGCGAGGACCCAAGCCCAAAACCTTTCTTCTCAAGGTATGTTGCAGTCTCCAGTAGTGGAGTGTGGCATTCAAAGGGGACCTGGAGGCCTTGTGAACCAATGGGTGTGCACACCATGCTTATTTGTAATCTGTGAGCCTTCTGACAGCTTGTCATCAAGTCAGGGAGAGCATCAAGGAGGTGGGACTTAGCCACACCAGAAGGCCTTTATTTATCCCTCTAGCCATTCCAAGTAGACCTGTAGTGGACTACAAGGAGTAGTGTCGATTGCAAACGGCTGCTTTTAGACAAATCCACTTTCTCCTCCCCCAGACTACAACCATTAAACCCACTTCCCCACCCAGTTAGAATTTCCCAGGCATCTGGGGGAAGTTGGGCTGTCAAGGCTGGAGGGGCTCCTGGGGGGTGGGGCTCTGTTTCCTTCTCACAGTCCTCTTTCTGCAGGCCCAGGCCAAGGCGAAGGCCAAAACATATGAATTCAGGAGTGACCCTGCCAGAGGCATCCGGATCCCTTACCCAGGCCGATCACCCCAGGATTTGGCATCTACTTCCAGGGCTCGAGAGGGCCTTCGGAACACAGGTCTATCCCCACCAGGGAACAGCACCAGTACCTGCAGGGCAGAGCCACCTCGGGACCGGGATCGAGAAAGAGGTACCAGTCGTGTAGATGACAAGCCCAGCTCACCGGGAGACAGCTCCAAGAAGCGAGGACCCAAGCCCCGGAAGGAGCTCCTGGACCCTTCTCAGAGGCCCTTGGGAGAACCCAGTGATGGCCTAGGAGAATACCTCAAAGGCAGGAAGCTGGATGACACCTCTTCTGGGACGGGAAAATTCCCAGCTGGCCACAGCGTGATCCAGCTTGCTCGAAGGCAGGACTCAGACCTGGCACAATATGGTGTGACCAGTGCTAGCTCGGCAGAGGCCTCGGGCAAGTTGGCTGTGGACACCTTTCCAGCCAGGGTGATAAAGCACAGGGCTGCTTTCCTGGAGGCCAAAGGCCAAGGTGCCCTGGACCCTGGTGGCCCCAGGGTCCGGCATACTTCAGGTACTCCGGGCTCAGTGGGGAGTCTGTATCGGGACATGGGGGCTCAAGGGGGAAGGCCCTCCCTCATCGCCAGGATCCCAGTGGCCAGAATCTTGGGGGACCCAGAGGAAGAGTCTTGGAGCCCCTCCCTGACTAACCTGGAGAAGGTGGTTGTCACAGATGTGACCTCAAACTTTTTGACAGTCACCATTAAGGAGAGTAACACGGACCAAGGATTCTTTAAGGAGAAAAGATGAATTCCTGGGGATGGGGAGCCCAGGACCAGAACAGGCGAGAGTGAGCTCCAATGTGGCTTAGTGCTTTTTTATTTCTGGGTGGCTGTGGCCTTCTGGCTGGCCCTGTCCTTAACTTCATACCCTCTCCCCGAGTCCCTTTCATTCCTTCTTTCTCAGTTCTGGTTGGAAATTATCTAGAGTTCTATTTTCTATTAGATGTAAATATGTTATTTAAGAAAAATATCTAAATATATATATTTCAACTCTTGAAGTTCTTTTATTTAAACAAGGAGAGAGAGAGAGAGATAGATTGTGGTCTGGTAGGGGCAGACAGAGTTGGTACAGGAGGGGACTTGTTCCAAGGGGCTCTAGAAAAGCTGGGGGCCTGGGCACCGGGATTCTGGAGGGAGTGTGAAGGGACTCAGCCCAGCCCACCTCCTCCCTCCACGCCTCCGGGTTCCCAGTGCCAGACTCTGGGCACCCAGGCAGGATTTTTTACTCTCCTTCCCATTGGCCAGCTAGGCCAACAAAAGGTTGGCTTTCCAATCAGAAAAAGAGGGATGGGGTGGGGTCAGCCCAGTTTTCTTTTTTTCTGTTTTCTTCTTTCTCTCTCTTTTTAAAGATTAAGATGTCTATTAGGGGGGAAAGTATTAACTTTTTCGTGCGTGTTGTTGAAGGTTTAAAAATATAAGTCAGGAGTGGGTGGGGCGCAGGTCTCCCGTGACCACACAGGGAGATGCACTTTACGAGCGAGTGTGAGTGCCATACACGGGGATTGTGTGTATGTGTCATGTGGACAAAATCTCCCCGTCCCATGTCCCATTCCTTCCCTTTCCAGAGAGAAAGAGAAATCCAGCGAATTTGTTTACATTCCCGAAATGCCAGGATATATTGGGAGGATTGCGTGTCAGTGCCCAGAGCACCAGACAGTTGTTTTACAAGGAAAATGCTCAGGCGGACTTTTCCTTTGCGAGTCCTCTCTAGCTTTGCCAGAAGACAGGGCGGCCCACCTCCCAGGAAGACTTGGACAAGCCTGGTTCGTCGGTGGGGGTGGGAAGGTGGGCCCTACTCTCAGAAGGACCAACGGCCGCCTGGCCACCTCAGCCACCCGGCGGGCGGCGGGGTTGGCAGCGGGCTGCGCACCAGGCTGGTCGCCGCGGGGGTCGCAGCCTAAGTGGAACATGGTCAGGTGGGGCTCGGAGCGGAAGGGGTCGACTGAGTTCCCACCCAAGGATGTGCATTAGAAGTTTAGTCCCCCCTCCCCTTCCTTAAAAGTAAAAGCTGTAATTTATAGTTCTTTTCGATTCTCGGAGTGCTCGCTAAATGAACTCGACTGGACGTTCAGACACCTCGGAAGGGGGTGGGGGAACGCGAGGTGGAGGGGGGGTGCGACCCGGGACGACAGGAGCCCCGCGACCCTCTGTGCCCCTGGTCCTGGCCCACTCCGGAGGGCACCACGCGCAGCTCGGACTCAAAAGCACAACTCTGTCCCTCAGCCAGTTCAGCAGGGATCTTGCGGCCTCTCCGCCCTCCCCTCCCTTAAAGGGCCAGCAGGCGGTCTAACTTCTGTGGCTTTTGCAGGGAGGGGGCGTGAGGCTCTGCTTGTGGGACAAAGCACAGAGGGAGGAGGCTCTGGGGTGGGTTAGAGAGGCTTGGTAATGGGGAGATGCTGAGAGGAAACCCCGGCCTCGTCCTCCCTACTCCTGGCTCCCCATCGCTGAGTCTCTCTTCCCTCCAAACTTTGCCTTTAAATAGAGGGAGAAAAAAGGAAAAACGGTGTACTCTCTACGTGTGTTTATTTGTTTTTGAAAATCGGTTTGCGCCTAAAGAGAAGCCCTTGGAATGGGAATTTTTATCTGCTCATATTTGTAAAACTGGTATTTTCGACTTTGTATAAAGAATCGCCGTTGACTGTGTGTCTGTCTAGATGTTGACCCTATTTTCAGGTAAACCTGCTTTGGAGGCACACTTGTGACCGAGTGGACCGTGACTCTGGGACACTCAGGAGTCCCTTACCTGACTTCCTCTCTCTCCTCTCCTTCCTGGCTCAAACCTTCTGTCCCTCCAGCCGTCCTGGTTCGGCCATCACTGCCCATCGTCCTGCCATCTGTCCATGGCCGTTGTGTGTGTCTCCTTAGCTCGCTCTTGAGAGGCTGACCTGGGGGGTGGGTGGGCAGGGGTCTGGGGCCATGTGGCTCCGAGTCTGCAATCGTAGATGGGCAGAACACGTGTTTATGAATTCTCAGATATGTACAAATCTCGAATTGATCGCCTCCTCAGCTCAAGAGTGAAACTTCGGTACCCTATCTTCTTGGGTTGTGAATGTGTCTGTATCCAGTATCACTTTTTATGTGTTTAAATATATATACTTTGTAAATAGACACTTGTCTTGGTTCTCATTATTTTATTTTATTTATTTACTTACTTACTTACTTATTTCCCAGAACAAGGTAGAGGTTACCTGGAAAGGAAGGACCCGGCCCCCTCTCTCACTACCCACTTGGTGCCCCTACCTTTGCCCCCCACACTCTACAGTAGGGTTGGACTTCCCCACTCCACCCAGAAAAGGCCCTTTTGCAATTAGGAAACTCTCAGTGGGAGGGTGAGGGGAGGTGGGTTGGGGAGGGAGTGAGTCATGATGGCTCTCAGCTTTCCCGGGAGGTTGTCTTCACTACTGGCTGTACTTCTTTGAGACCCAGGCAGAATTCGGGGACCCCAGAGATGATATGCGCTACCTCTGGGCTCATTTACTCACCCTGGTGGAAGATTCCCCCAGCTCCACCCCGCTTTTATGCCAGAGGTCCGTGCCTGACACCCAAGAACCTTGCAGACTCACTGCCTGTGACCCGAACATTGCTCCCGATGCTGTCGTAGGGCTCGTGGCCCAGACCCCCACAGCCTCGCCAGCGCTCCCCGAAATGCAGAGCCTCCGCCTATTGATTGAGGAATTGAATTCGCGGGTATTGCTAGGCAACTGCCTGCTTGGAGCCAGTGCTGAGCGCGCTGATGTGATTAGTGAACCCGGAGCCTCTGATCTCAGCCCCGCACTGCGCTCCCACACCCAGTGTCCACGGCTTCTTAGATCTGCGTTCTTTCGGGTAGATACCCCAAGGTGGGACGAGGGACCTTCGAGGGGGAACAGCGATGGGGTGCTCCGTCCTCTAGACTGCGGACTTCTGGGGGGGGGGTGGGACCAGGTCGTGAGGCTGCAAACCCGACCCACACTCCGGCTTCCCAAAGAGGATTGCACAATGAACCCGGTTCTACCTCCATATTCCCAGGCAGACCACCTTCCGTTGCCAAGAAGTCACCGCAACCCGTCAGAACCCTCGGAGCCCAAGAAGAGGCCCGATGTGGGCCTGGTCACATTTTGCCGTTGGCCCAGTAAGCAGTGGTTAGGCCATTGGCAGAGAACTCCCCACCTCCCTCCTCCAGCTCAGTACCCTGGGTCGAGGTTACCTCAGCGGGCCCTTTGGACACTGAGCTTGTGGAGTACAGTCTCAGGCGCCAAGAAGTCCAAGGTCTATTTCTTAGGTCACCTTAAGGCGCTCTGAGCCTGGTAGGTCCTTTGCTGGACCCACAGGAGGGCGATGGTCATCAGGGGGCCAAGAACGCAGTGGGGTGGCTGGGCCTAGTGGCTTCAGCAGTCAGTCCTACAGTAGGGGTCAGTACCTGAATATAGGGAGGAGATCCGCGCTGACCCTGCGGGATTTCCCGCTTCTTTGGTCACCACCAACTTTAACTTGGGCTCAGAGCTCCCTCGGTGAATTTTGTGTGCAGATTCTCCCGGAGAGCAAAGACCGAGTGTGGGGACCCCTGGCCCTCCGGCTGCCCTGCTTCAGGCGGATCTCCCTAGGTCCTCATTGGCAGGACCCGCTCAAGCCGCTGCAGGGGTTGAGCATGGCCCAGCACAAACAAGGTTGAATGGAATACTTATAGCTCTGCAAAGAGCGGTTTTTTTCTGACTCTGATGCTCAGCTCGGATGGAGGCCTGGTGCTGTACCCGGAAGCCAGTGATATGCAAGCCTGCCCCAGCTCTCTGCGGGTGCATTCATGGTTTTCCTGGATTCACCAAAAAGTCCTCCAGGTCAGAGGCGGCTCGGATACAGCGGGAGCCCAGGGTAGGAGCCAGTGGTAGCCCGAAGGGTCTCGGTGTCATTAAAGATGGAAATTTGGCCGAGAAAGCCGCCGTAGGCTGAAGCCCGGGCTTTCATTCTGAGGCCAGAGACTGAGCCTGCTGGGGCTGCTCTGAGCAGTAGGGATGAAGAGCCTGCAACTGAGCTCTGGACAGCCTAGGGCTGCGGGTAAATTCTGCCCTCCTCCACCAACTTTCAAAATCCCGCGGCCCGAAGTTGGTGGGAAGCGCGCGCCCTCTACAGGCGACAGCCTCAGCGCCTGTCCCAAGTGCCACGCCTCCCTCCCCCCCCCCCACTTCCTCCTACCATGCATCGCCCAGGCATCTTCTCTGCCTTTGAGAATCAGCCTCGACCCACGCCGGCAGAGAGGGGGAAAGTGGTGTCCGGAGGCCCGGAGCCCCTGCTGCACCAATCTTACCAGGTATGCCCCATTTGGTCCTAGTGGTGCCTATTCTAAGAATGAGGCAGATTGATTAGGTAGATCAAATCGGCGGCATAGAAATTAATAAAGATCCTTGTAGGCAGACCCCCCCCCAACTCTGGTCCGGAGGCCTTGTCCTTGTAGACAATGGTTATTCTTGTAGACATAGGTTATCAGAGAGCCTAGCTGGCCAACCAGAGCCAGCAACTGCTCTCCTGCCAAGTAAGCTAGCTTGTTCCTCTAGGACAGATCTGGGATACAATCGTCCCTGTGCACCTCCTCCAAAAGGAAACAGGCACTGGAGGCAGCAGAAGAGAAATCAAATTGCCAGGCGCCAGCTTTGCAAGAATAAAGAATCCGGTTCCATACGCGCCGGCCTTTCTCCAGCAAGGTTTGTGTTTCTGTCTATAGTCTTGCAGAAGGAACCTTAGTCCCAACCAGCCTTTTTTTTTTTTGGCCAGGGGTGGGCCTGCATGTCTGTTTTCCTCACACTTCAAACAGAACTCTATTCTTCTGGGAGGCCAGAGGAAATTCTGGATGAATTCACACTGAGGAGAGTAACCCAAGTCTTGGACTAGGGGAGGTTACATTGTAATAAGCACATCTACCCTTTCTCATTAGTTGGGGTTAGGAGCCTGGGTGGCTCCTGGCTCGAAGCTTCCTGCTCCTCCTCAGTGTCTCACTATAGCTTCCCAGCCTCGTTAAGAAAGGTGCTGAGCTTCCTTTGAATGCATCACAGCAGCTCCTTGTACTGGCTGGAGGTCTGCAACATTCCTTTTGCCCACTGATGTTATTAGCGGGCAAAAATGTAGTTTTCCCCATTAAACCAGGCTTTCTCAAACACAGCTCCTTGGACGTTCTGGGAAGCTGGACCCCTGTGTGGAGACTACTTTGTGTGGAACTCTTGGTTTCTACACTCTAGATGCTGCTCACACCCTTCATCGTGGCACAACTCTCTCCAGACACCCCAGGTCCCTCCTCTCATTCATCACTGGTGTGTTTGCTCTTAAAAAATGTATCCCTTCCTTGCAAAAGTGTCCTTTTTTCTCCCCTCCCCCCTCTGAGTGGCTAAGCCATTTCCTTTTTTTTTTTTTTTCCCTTTTTCTTTTCTGTTTTGGTTTTTTTCAGGCAGTTTCTCTGTAGCTTTGGAGCCTGTTCTGGAACTAGCTCTGTAGACCAGGCTGGCCTCAAACTCACAGAGACCCGCCTTCCTCTGCCTCCCGAGTGCTGGGACTAAAGGCGTGTGCCACCACCGCCCAGCTGCCATTTATTTTTCTTTCTTTCAATGCTACAGCTATGTTGTTGTTTTTCCTCCAATGCTATGTTCATGTCCAGATGGGTATTTTGCCTCATGACAGGGGAAATAAAGACTATTTTGCATATATACATTACTTACAATGTACACCAAGCCAAAAGGTCACACAATATTTATTGATACCGAGTAGCAAAACGACAAGAATTTTCTCCTACATCATTTACTGTCTTTCCCTGGCAAAATAAATTAACATCAGTCTAAAGCCCCTATAACCTAGGCTAGTGTCACCAGAAACTCCTGGAACTGTGAGATGTATCTGGGTAAATATGACTATCAGGGCACTTCCCCCGAACCATGAGGGACTTGGGGGGGGGGAGGGGCAGGCATTTCCTTGGCTGCTGGGCTGTTCTGTTCTAGCACAGATCCCAAGTTTCCCCAGGGTCCCTTGTTCACTCCCTAGGAAAGCAAACAGTTCCCATTTAAAGGGGGTAGACATAATCAGCTGGATTAAGAAATGAAGCTAAAGACTGACACTATTGTCAGCTCAAAGTTCAACGTTTCCTTCCTGATGAAGGGCTAGTGCTCTCTAATTAAGGCTAAAATTTGAAGTATACCAAAGAAGGGACACCATTTTTGGTATCAAAGTTTTTTTTTTTTTTCTAGATCAATACTCCCAAGGAAGAAGACAGGCTGGCCACTTTTCCTATCAGGTGCAGAAGCAGACAAAAAGCTGCTTGTAATCTTACAAGCCTGAGGAGGGCTGCCAGGGATTCAAGGCCAGCCTGGGCTAGAAGAGACACTATCTTGAAAGGACTAAAAATTAAAACATCCATTTGGCATAAAAATCATGGCACAGAACATCTGGACCCTTAGGAAGACCATCTTGTCAGACTGAACACACACACACACACATACACACACCACACACACACACACACCACACACACAGACACACACACACACACACACACACACACGGCATAGCAGCAAACAAAAAACCATAAAAAAGCAACTACTTTTATTTATTGGTAAACATGAGAACTCAACTCAGAACACGTGGTGTGCCTCTCCAGTGGGTTCTCATGTGGGCACGCTACACACATACACTTTGTAACATAGACACTGGGGTCACAGCACCAGGAAGAACACACAAGGCAAAGTAGCTGGGAGGAAGGTATTTGTAGATTTCAACTTTGGGACTGAAATAACCGGTAAAAATAAAAGGCACCAAATTGGGGTTTGGAGACCAGGTAGCAAAGCCAGTCAACCTGGGTCCCCAAACATGGTCGTTTCTCCAACAGCTCGTGGAACCCCCAAAAGGCATGGAGGTGCCTTTAAGGCAGTGTCTGGTATAGAAGAAGCTGCAAACCTTGCAGCAAAGGATCCTGGCTGAGGACAGGAAGGGAGGCTAATGGCCCAGTAGGCAACTCTTCCGCCTTGCTGCCCTCTTCCTGGCCCTGAATTCTCCCCAGTGGTATAACTCCTTGGTGCTGGATCCAGAGGCTACAAACCATGGGCCTCTCTCAGGAGTCACGGGTATGGGTCTGTCCCAAAAGGCACAGTGTTGAGGTTGGTTTGGTTACACAAAGACCATTGATTATTTGGTGTGTGGGGTGAGCTACTGGGTGGGGGAGGGCTCTTTGAAAGTGTGGCAGGTCCCGGATACCACAGCCCGCTCACTGTCTGGGCTGGTTTTGGAAGGGGAGTCTTCCCTTCAAGGCAACAGGAATGAAGGGCACACACACCTGCAGGCTGACCAGTCAACGGCAGGAGGAGAGACAAGGGGGTCACACCACCCCCACTTTTTGGCATCACAGACTCTGACCAGATTGTCATGGCCCCAAGGTGATATTCCAGGACAGAAATCCTGATCTTGGCCAGCAATCTGACAAGGTAGTTTTAAGATAGCTACCTGGGATGGGGGACAGGGAGAAGGCATCTAGAAGGCTCAGAACTGGGATTCTCTCCTGAGGATGGGGGAAGAATTAGGACCCCGTGCCAGGTGGGCTGCCAAACTGTCCCACCACACAGGGGATATTGCTTCTCAGGAAGGAGTCATGGGCTCCCAAAAATGGGAGAGGATTGTCATGGAAAATGGTACTCCAGAACAGCCCACTCAAACAGGCAGGGCTTTCTCTGCACCAGGATCCACTACAGAAAATGCTCGCATGACAGTCTAGAGGCACCCAGGCTAGACAGGCAGCAGGGGGCAGGCCTGTGTGAGGCACCTGAATTCCTGCCCTGGAGTTACTCAGAGGCTGACTCCTCCAGCCCTAGTTAACTCAAACTCCAACAGTGGGGAAGATGTCCTGCCCGGCATCCCAACACTCTGAGCTCCCACCCACTTCAGCCTTCTCTGGTTTCAGCCCTCGGAACTAGGGCGCACTCTAGTGGGCCTGAGCAGGGGTGCAGGTCTGGATCCAGAGCAGGACAGGGTCACTTCTCACTGGGGCTCGGGCCTGCTTGCAGGAAGGTGGCAGTAATGTCAGACTCCTCTGTTCCCAAATCCAGTAGCACTGAGGTACATCTGACTGCTGGAATGAGACCCTCCAAACCCTGGCTGGACTTTGGGGCCACAATTGTGGCCAGAGATGACACAGCACCAGAGACAGACACTTTGAAGAGTTACACAGGGTTCTGCAGACTTCCACAGAGTCCCTGAGCCCAACTTCACAACGAATTATCCTTTCATAATGAGGCCACAGCCTCACCTGCCAAGGACAGAACCGCCACCCAGGTCACCAAAGGCTGCCATTGTTGGGCTGGGGAGAAGGTCTGGCCTGGCTGTCTTTCTCCCTACTGGGTTGGGGAGGGAGCTTTATCAGATGCCGCTCCCCAAACCACCTGACAGTAGTTGGGCTAATAAGGTGGGGGAGGGTCTTACTAGGCCAAGGAGGGGCATGTACTGAAGACGTTTTGTTCAAGCAGCCAGAGGCCAACCAGATTTCCTGAGGCAACAGGACAGAGGAGGCCCAGAGAGGTAGAATCACCAGAGAAACCAGTTCCCAGCCCTAAGTGTCAAGACAGGGCAGAGCTGGCCCCCAGGTCAGGCAGGGCATCAGGGCAATACCAGAGACTGGAGGGCGGGTCAGACTCGGGCAGGGGCCTCAGTAATGCCTCAGGTTGAAGAACCCCACGCTGGTGGGCGATTCCTTCACCGTGACAGTGATGAGGTTGGCCGTGACATCTGTGACAAACACTTGCTCTATGAGACTGCGGGTAGGCTTCCAGTCCTGACTGGTCTGAACAGACACCGACAGATTCTGGCCGGCAGCGGGGAGTGAGGATGAGTCAGGGTCCGAGTCCGAGCTGCTATTCTCCTCTCCCGTGCTCACCTCAGACAGAGCAGGTGCCTTGCGGCCTTCTCCTGGGACCCCGCGGCTCTCCTGCCCGCTGGAGGCAGCAACGCACTTAACCCTGTCCCTCCTGACCGAAGGGGTGGGCAGAGCTGTAGCCTTGGAGGCCATTTTTTCGCCTTTGCTGGTGTCTGTGGGCGTGCTGGTCACGTTTACTCCTGTGGGGCTGGCCCCAGGACCTTTCCCCGTGGCTGGGTTGGTGGCTGGAATGGCCTTGGTGGCTGTGGCGTGGCGGGAGAGCAGGCCCACACCAGGCACGCCATTCTTGACGCTCTGTAAGTCTAGGACCTGAAGGCTCAGTTCCTGAGTCGGGGCCAGCTGGGAACCTGGGCCCCCCGAACTGCTGTTCCCTTTCTGCTGCTCTGCAGCCCCGCCGCCGCCAGGGGCCTTTAGGACCTTGCTCCCTGGAGGACTCACCGCTACAACCCCTTTCTGTGTCCTCATTTTCAGGTCCAGTCCGAGGCTGCACTTGTTGGCGGCCTGGGCCTTGAGTGCCAGTCGACTGGCAGCCTGAGCCTGACTCTGGCTCATGCGGTTCATGTAGTGTACGATGGAGCTCTGCCAGCTGATGCCACCGCGGTTGGGGCTCGCAGCCATGCCTTTCATCAGCCTGGCCAGGTTCTCCGGGGTGGCCATGGTGCTGGAGCCGCTGCAGGCCTCTTTGGTGTGGGCTTTCAGGGCTGCCAGGCCGGCCACGGGAGCACTGAGTGGAGGGGGCAGCTTACTGGCTGCCGTCCCCAGGTCCTTCCTGGAGGTCTTCAGCACCTTGGCCAGGCTTACGGGTCTCCGAGCTGCCTTCTGTTCTGGGGGCAGAGGCTTGCGTCCTCGTTTCTTGCGGATGGGGTCTTTGAGTTCGGGCTTGGCCACCAGGATCTGGGCTTTCTTCTGAGGCACTGGGTGGGTTTCACGGCCCCGGGGGCCCCTCTTGGAGTCCAGGTCGCTGTCATCCTCTTCTTCATCTGAAGAGGAGGAGGAGGATGAGGAGGAGGAGGAAGAACTGCTGGATTTGGACTTGGAGGGAGCATCTGGTTCCTGGAAAGACAAACGGGTGGGTCAAATCTCCATCTGAGCAGCACCAGGGTCCGCCAGGCTGCGGCAGCCAGGGAGGAGCGGACACGCTTGTCCAAAGAGGTGAAGCCTGCTCAGTGGTTTGTACAGCTAGAGGCAAACAGTTGTGATTCTCTTGCTATCATTATCGCTACGAGCTAAGGAGGCCCGAGGACCCAGGATCTCCCATGGTATCTTTATGGAGATGGTGCCAATGTCCTTCCAGCTCTGACAGGGGCTGATTCCAAGAAACCCTGGGACCTAAGGCTTTCCGGGCAGCGCCCTTCCCCCACCTAGCTTCATCAACCTGCAGAAATTCCTCCTGCCAGGAGGAAGGACAGTGGAGACAGGACAGACCCACACTTCTGCTTTGGCGACAGGTCTAGGGAGTGGAGTCCAGGTAACAAGCAAAGGCACACCTGAGCATAAGGACAGCGCCCCCTTCCCTGACCCGTCAGGGATGGGGGAGGGCAAAGATGGAAGATGCCAAGGCTCCCTGGTGTGTGGAAGGCAGGCTGTCTTTATAGCCAGGAGGGCCGACGGGACATCTTGAGAAGGGCTTTGAGTAGCACCCCCGTCTCCGCCCTACTTTCCAACTCCGCACGGGCCAGTACCCTGGACTTGGCCCAGTCTGCCCATACACAAATGCCAGCATGCACGGCACACTGCCTTCCCTGACCGACGGTCTCCAAGGCGACAGTGTGCTGGGTATAGCTACCAAGTCTGCTGCCGCCACCCTGGAGGACAGAGTGCAGGCTGAACTTGGTAAGACAGGAAGGACCGAAGGAGGCCCCGAGATGGGAGGGGCATGCACCATCCGCCCGGCTGGTGCCATCCACCCACAGACGCCTGAAAGGGTAACAGGAAAGAGACCTACCCACCTCAACAGCCTACTTGAAGAACCTCTCCCAGAGCAGCATGAATCGGTCAGGAGCCAAAGGGGATAGCACAAAGCCGGTGGCCACTCACCTTGAGCTTAGATCGCCGGCTGCAGTTAGACATGACTGTGTGTTTCCTCGGCCTGCCCCTGGGCCTCTTGCCTCTCTTCCGGCTCTGTACCTCCTTCTCATGTTCCCTGGAGACACAGCACCAATCAGCTTTGAGAGGCCCTGCTTGCAAACCATTCTCTGGCTCCGGCCCCCACATCTCAGCTCCCAAGGGATCCCTGCTGCTCTAGTTGTCCTACAGTGGAGCTCAGGGGTCCAGACACCAGCTCAGGGGTGCTGGTCCACAATACCTTTGCAGCCAATCCATTTCACTTGCATTTGGCTAACATGGAGCGGAACTCAGGAGAACAAAGCTGGGGATCTCCCCATTTTCCATTAAGAAAACTTTCTGTAGGTGAACCTTCCATGAAGATCCTAGCACTCACAACCAAAAGCAGCCTCCGGGGCTATATGGTCTCATCTGCTCATCCCCACAAAGACTGCCTTCCAGTATGTACCAAGCACAGGAAAGGAAACCCTTGTATGACCTGCTAGCCCAGACGCCGAGGACGCCAGGGTGGCTGATGCCTGGCAGGCTCCTCGCAGACAACTTCCTGACTTGTATCAGCCCTGTTCCTGCATCCCTCAAATACCTTCAGAATTCTGCTCCTAATGGGAGGAGAGGAAGTTATCAAGCCCCCAGCAGCCCCGCCTCCGAGGCTGTACCCCTGCAACCCAGGGCTAAAGCTGTGATGTCAAGAACACCGAAGCTCAGATTTCAGGCTACCCCATTGGGTATATCTGGAGAAGACTCCCAATGTCAAAGACCCCCGAGAGATGGCCTGGCAGGCTAAGGGGCATGCTGCTAAGCCACACAACCTGAATTTGATCCCCAGAAACCACAGGGTGAAAACAGACATCAGGGTCTGGAGCGATGGCTCAGCAGTTAAGAGCACTGACTGCTCTTCCAGAGGACCTGGGTTCAATTCCCAGCACCCACATGACAGTTCACAATTGTCTGCAACCCCAGTTCCAGGGGATCCGACACCCTCACACAGACATACGCGCAGGCAAAATATCGATGCACATAAGTGAGAATAAGCAAACTATTACAAATGTTTAAAAAATTGAGAACTCAGGCTTACAAACACACGCATGCCTCTTCTCCTTCAAGCAAACACACAAATGCAAAATAAAACAGCCAAATACCATCTCCTTGGAGCCTGGGAAGCGATCTCATAAAGAAATGGATTAGACCTCCAGGGAAACCCTGAGGCTAGAACAGTCTTGGACCCCAACTACACATCTCAAGTTCAAGGATGCTGTATCAGGTCTGACCTCCCTGACCAACAAGTTAACTGCCAGCTCCCAGTGTGCAGAGGGATGTGTCTAGATGCAGGCCAGAGGCAGAGCATGCACCATCCTGATTTTTTTCGTCCCATGCTGAGAACAGACCATTCTGTTTTCCTCTGGATATTCTGGCTCATGTCGGAGCTAACCAAAAGCGATGTTCAAGGCGCATTGCCTCTCATCCTCGCCTCAGGATGATTCCTGAGAGACAGGGTCTTGTTCACTGGGCAAGCTGGTTTCCACCTGCTCAGGCGCTGCCCTGCCTCAGCTTCTCTAGCAGCAGGGGCTGCAGGTATGTACGATAATGGCTGATCTAAGGATGCCACCTCAAATGTAGAGAAACACACCAACCCCTAGAGAGTGCCAAGCCATCTCTCCTGGGCTTAGAGGGCCACCACAGGAATTTAACAGAAGGCACGACATTGTTATCCTAGCAGGCGCAAACACTCACCCCTACAAAACCCTATCCCTCACCACCCCTTCTGCAGAATGTCCCATTACAGTAAGAAACACAGGCTGGGCTCCCAGAGCACATGCTTGCTAGATTGACCCCAGCTGGGGAGGCTTTTGAGCAAGCCATCCATCTGCCTCTACTGACAGAGCCAGCTTCTGCAGTGGAAAGGTGTCTGTCTGTACTGCCACCCACATGGTGCTTGTGGTCCCTACTGGGAGGATAGAGTCCCTCACATCCGGGACACACCGTTCCCCACACCATCTCACACAATCCCTCTTAATGAACACCTCCCATCTAAGAGCAGAAGTGTCAACCATAATTACAAAAGCAGATCCTTGCAACCTCAGCACCCTTGCGTCACACACACACATCTCTCTGCACCGTGGGTTTCAGACCCACCCTGCCCGTCGGGAGCGGAGGCACACGCCTGCTTTTTATGGCAAGCTTGAAACTCCAGGTGCCACTACTGCTGACCAAATGTTACTCCACAGAAAAGGCCAAGAGAAGAAACTAGAATCTTTGCACAAAGGTTCATTTTGCAAGTGCTCAGCCTCTGTAGCCACCCAAGGAAGCCTGGAACAGGCTCCTGATGGGACCTCACACCATAGCCCCAGGCCACTGTGTCACCAGCCAGTTCCGGCCCCTACTCTCCCCTCCTCCAGAGTGCTGTAAATGTTCTCACTTCTTCTGGAAGGCTAGGAGCAGCCTTGGGTCCAAGATGTTCTCTTCTGGCTCCCAGCTGTTATGTCTGGAAAAGCAAAGAGCAGAGCTTGTGAGCAGGGTCCAACTGGGCTGCGGGGGCAGCTCCCACAGTCCTGCTGGGGGCAAGGGACCCTGTGGCCAGGCAGTCCTCTGAGAAGCCCTTCAAGTTAGTTAGCATCATGGCCTCAAACCCACAGGCAAACTGCCACCTCAAGCCCCAGTCCCAGCAGGCCACAAGGGTACTCAACAGTCTGTGCCTGGGAAGAAAACAAATCCCAACAAAGAGCAAGGCTGCAGAGGGAATCCCCCGAGCCTGGCCCGGAGCCAGGGAGGGAAGGGAAGACAGGTAGGGGCGGGGGAGCTGGGGAAGCAGACTGAACAATGTGGCGACACCACAGAGAGCGCGGGCAGAGCAACAGAGTTTGAGGGGGGCACCGGGAGGGATGGCGTCCTGGAAGGAAGGTTGCGGGGCAGCTACAGAAGAGACCCCTCCCAGGGAACGCCGGGTCCCTTCCCCTCATTAAGAAGAAAGCAAACACGAGCAGGGGGGGGGGCGAGAAAGGGGGCTCCTACCAGTAGGAAGCTCAGGTTACAGCGGGGTAACTTGGGCAAGGGGAGGGGGCTGTGTCCCGCGCCTGCCACGGCCGGCTCCGGGGCGGGGGCGCATGCAACAAATGGGCGCCAGAAGCGCGCCGCGCGGAGCAGGGCCGGGCCCGAGGGACTCCGGGCTGGAGGCCTCCCTGCCCGCTCCCCGAGGGTTCGTAAACAAAGGGCGCCGCCGGTCGGCCGGAGTCCTCCGGGTCCGGAGCCACAGAACTTCCCGCCCGGACCCGAGAGCCCAGGATCCCCAGGCCGTTCCCACCCAGGCCGGGAGGCGCGCGCGGGAAGGCGGCCGTGCACCGGGACTCACTTGGAGGACCAGCCGCGCCACTTGACCAGGTACTCCAGCTTGCCCTGCGGGGAGAGAAGAGCGGGCGGTGAGCGGCGCAGAGCGCCGGGTGCGCGCGGGGGGCGGGCGGGGACGCACGCACCTTGCGGAGCCGCTTGCTCAGAATGCACTCGGCGGCGAAGACCTGCTCGCCCACGCTGCTCAGCTCCTCCATGCCGCCGCCCGCCGCGGCCCGCGCCCCGCAGCCCCCGGCCCACAGTCGCACACAAAGCGCCGCCCCCGCCGCGCCCCGCCCCGCGCACGCGCGCCGCAGTCGCCCGCGCTGAGCTCCCCGGAGCCGTCCGGCCAATAGGCGCGCGGGGCTGGGCTCGCATTGTTCGCTGCGGCGGCGGCGGCGAGGACCGGTCCGTGGGGTTGGGCGCTCTCTGCGCGGCGTGGGGCGGCTGCGTGCTCCGAGGACTCTGGGGTCCGACTGCCCCGGATCGCATGTCCCCGCCGAAAGCCATTGTTTGGGTTGAGGGCGGAGAAACGGGGACCACGCGGCTCTTCCTGTCCCCGCCAGCGAGGGACGCTGCTTTCCACCAGTCCTCTTTAACTGCACCCCGATGCTCCAAGGTCAGGGGTGCAAGAAAAATACAGGGTTGCGGGGTAGCACCGAAAAGCGAGCCTTGCATCTCTCCTTAAGGCTAGAGAGGGAAAAAAAAAATTAAGGTCACTGCAAGACTGAACTCCAAATTCTTAGTAAAGAGTCGAGAAAATAGGACCCAGTTCCCTCGACTTTTAGTGCGCGCGTGGGGACACTACTAAATGGCTTTCTTTAGTTTATTTCGCGGTTTTGGTGACGTCGACGTGGGCCGGAGGGGGCGGTGTGTAGACCTGGGTGTGATCTCTGATTTTGTCACAGCTCGCTAGGCTCTGCCAGCAAAGTACTTTGGATCAATTACCAGTGGTAGAAGGTGGGGTGGCCCGGGTCCTCCCCGGACGCCTTTTTACTTTCTTTAACGCTCAGGCATAAATCCCGTCGAGTAGCCTCCTTTGTAAATTTTGAAGCAACTCACACGACGAAGGACGCATTCTCTCACTTAATAGAGTAGACTCCAATGAGAATCCACTTTCTGGTTTTGCCTCTTTCTTGGACACAGCCGCAAGTCTCATTTTTGAAGGAACGTCTCTCCACGTAATGGTGAACTTATTTACGGACGAGAAACAGTTCTTGGCTGTAAAGCTTTCTGCCCCAAGAATCGAACACCGGGAAACTACTCTGAGATTTAGGGGTGTTGTTCAGTTTAGTTGGTTAAACAGCCACCTCCACGCGGGTCTTTGGAGAGAGTTTGCAACTGTTTGCAGAGGGGGCAGGGAAAGGGGCATTTTCCTTGAGAGCAGCAGTGACTGCTCATTTGGGGGCTTCGTGCAGTAGTGGATGAACCAGCATGAAGAGAGCTGCTGGAGTCTCTCAGCCAGCTTTTTGTCAGCTGGGCAGTAAATGGTAGAGCGGGTACAGAGGTGTGTTTAGTGTAATCCTATAAATAGCTGGATCCATTTCAGCTGCTGTTTGTCCTCAGGATTCCACGGGGATGTAACACTGTAACACTGTTAGGATTCCCCCCCCCACTTTTTTTGGAACAGAGTATACAGACACATTGCTTTTTTTTTTTTTTTAACAACAACAACAAAACCTTACAAAAAATACAACTTTTTCTGTTTTTTTGGTCTGCTGAGAAATAGCCAAGAGTCTGATATGAACACATTGGGAGAAAAAAAGCTCCCTTCCTGAAATGTCTATCACATACCTCATCTATTTAACTTAGGACACACAGTTGGGAGAAAGAGTTGTTAAGATAATTAATTTGGAGAAACAAATACAACAGACTTGACTGGAATGAAGCCATTAGATCGATGCAGCCAGTGTATGATTCAGAACTTGTGGCATTTCTTACTCACAGTTTTAGCATTAGTAGGATAAGTTAGGTCAGATTCTTTTTATCCATGTCATAAATAGCTACTCTGCGTTTACCACTGTGCCAACCCCACTAGATACGGAAGTGAGTTCTTAGTGACCGTCTGACAAGCCTGGCACAGGCTCTGTCTATTGCCTGATGCTGAAGGGTTGAATCTGAAATTGTATTTCCTTTTTTTTTTTTTTTTTTTTACTTCATTGAAATTCAAATAGCCACTTAAGGCTGGTGGTCACTCACAGGACATCGAGCCAGTCCCCAAGAACACAAAGATATGTGTTGCGGGGATTCGAGCTCTGGAAGCCAGCCCTGGGCCATCTGTGCATATTGATAACCTCAGAACGCTTGAAGTATGTGTAGGAAAGATAATAGAAATCCAGTCACTGGGGAGTATGCTAGGGGAGTGAATGTGCCACTTCCTGTGCCCAAAACAGTGTGGACAAGTCTTATTCATTAGTTTGCTTGTTTGTTTTTGTTTTCTCCTGGTTGTGTGGAATGGACCCAGGGCCTGGAGTTTGCTGGAGCAAGCACTTGGTTGCTGATCCACATTCCAACCCCCTTTAGGCATGAGAGGTTGGAATATTCTGCTAAAAAAGAGTAAATGTGGGCCGCAGTGATGGCTCAACAGTTAAGAACCCTTGCTGCTCTTAACTTGAAGAGGGCCTGGATTCAGTTTCTAGTTCCCATATCTGACTGCTCACATTTCCAGGAGGTCTGATGGTTTCATGTGGCTTCCAAGGGCATCTGGCAAAAATGATACACATACATATGTAAACACTTAAGCGCACACTCGCACACTCGCACACACACAGACACAGACACAAACACACACACACGCACACGGCAACCAATCAAACAAAACAAAACAAAAAACCAAAAAACTCCTTTGAAGTAAGAAGGGAAGTAGAGGCTGGCCAGAAGGCCATTGTTTACCAATGCTTACTGCTCCTGCAGAGGTACTTGAGTCTATTCCCCCCACTAATATATGGTGGTTCACAGCTGCCTCTCACCCCATTTCCACAGGATTTGATCCCCTCTTCTGGCCCCTGAGGGCATCTGCACACACGGGATGCACATAAACTCATGCAGGCACACATAAATATACATAACTAAAATTAAATATTTTCAGTTGGGTCTAGTGATGTGTGCCTTTAATCCTAGCTCTCGGGAGGCAGAGGCAGGCTGATCTCTGAGTTCACAGCCAGCCTGGTCTACAGAGTTCCAGGACAGCCAGGGCTCACAGAGAAACCCTGTCTCAAAAATCCAAATAAAGAAACAAACAAATATTTCTTTCAGTGCTTATGGTTTGAGAACCGAACTACCCAGGCAAGGAAAGACAAAGTATCAATCCACAGCCAAAAGATATCCCCAACTGAGAGTATCCAGGGAGCCTGTTCTTGGCAGTTAGAACTAGATCACCTTAGATACAATCTTACAAAACAGCTTCCACCCCGCAGCTTATTTTATGTTCAGCTTTACAGCTGATCAAAGAGTCAAATCTTCCCCGTAAGGGGTCTGCATGAGCTAAAACTCAGTGTCTGGTGTATAATTGTCCCGGTCTCCCTAGAGCTTCCCTTTGCATTTGTAAAACTGAGGTGTATACCTTACAGGCTCACTGGGTCAAGTGATGTGGTTTCTGTATATATAATGGGTAAACATTGTCTACATGATCCACACACAATGTTTACGTGTCAGTCAAAATAACCATGGTTGGGATGCTTGCCCAAATTCAAAAGCCTTCAGTCCCTAGGCCCACAATGCAAATATTGACACCATCCACCACCTCCCCCTGCCCCCCACCCCTCCACACCTCTCCAGGGACAGCTTGCTGCTCTTACTGTTTGGGACATTTCTCAGAACAGGTAGTCTGTCTAAGCCTTCAATTTGGAGATGAGAAAAAAGAAATCCAAAATTGCTTTTAGTGCATGCTGGTGGCCCTCCACCTTGCCCCCTCTTTTTCTGCCCAATGGGGACTCAGCGCACTCTACTAGCTTCGTGCAGCCTGTTCGCTAAAGCCTTCCGAGGCCATCAGCCTGTCTCCTGGTGTCACATCTGCCACTAGGTCACCTAGTCCACCTCAGTGCTCTCAGAAACCTGCCCAGGTGGAAGATCCTGGGGTCAGGGAGAGGGTGAAAGCACACAGCTGTAGAGGTGGGAAACAGATGTGATGGCCGCTCTTTAGAGGGGGTCTCTGTTGCATGAGGGTTTTATCTCAAAGGTGTCATTGGATTAATTCCAGATCCCAGTTTTGTGCTATTAACAATGTTGGGATGAGCATGGCTTGTTTGTTTTTCAAGACAGCGTTTCTCTGTGAAATAGTCCTGGCTGTGCTGGCACTCACTCTGTAGACCAGGCTGTCCTCAAACTCACAGAGCTCCGCTGGGATTAAAGGCGTGGGCTACCACTGCCCTCAGCAGCCCAGCAGCCCAGCACCTTCTTCTTGCTCATACGGTGTGCTTGCAGATTGGGGTCCAGGATGCTCAATCAAAGGGCATGTGGGTTTTTCTCTGACGGGGTTGGGCCACCCCTCTGTGTCCTTTGTCTCACATCTGTCTCATGTTTTGGCACTCACACCAGGCTGGCTTTGGACTCGCTATATAGCCAAGGATGATCTTACATTTCAGTTCTCCCAGCTCTGCCTGGGGGGGGGGTCCAGGGGATTTCTGAATGTGATTGCTGCTTTGCTGGTGGGATGGGCTGACACACACTAACACACACTAGCCTCAAGCGTCTACAGAGCTGACACACACCAGCCATGGCCTTGCACACCTCACATCTGCTTTTACCTAAGACCTCTGCCTCATGGGCAATGGTCAGAGTGAAAGATGATTCGGAGTGCAGCTTTTCAGTGTGAAATGCATTATTTTATTTTTATTTTTAAGCCTTTTAGGCTTATTTATTTTATGTGTATCGAGGTTTGCCTGCATGCATGTATATGCACCACATTCATCCCTGGAGGTCAGAAGAGGGTGTCAGATCCCTGGTCCTGGAGTTACAGATGCTGGTGAACCACCATACAGATGTTGGGAACCAAACCCAGGTCCTCTGCTAAAGCAACAGGTGCTCTTAACCGCTGAGCCAACTCTTTAGCCTGTTTCATTTTAAAAGGTTAATTCACATGTATGAAAGTTTGAATCTCGGGTTAGAGCCTTTTCAAAGGGCAAATAAGTAGTCTGGGGATTCTTGGTGGTGCCGGCGTGTGGTGCACGGGTCTGCTAAGTGTCCTTACTCTATGCTGGAGGGAGTCTTAAACTTCTTCCTCCCTCCTTTCTTCCTCTCTTCCTTCCTCCCTCCATCCCTTCCTCCCCCCTTCCTCCCTCTCTTCCTT